TTGGTAAATGTGAAAAGATTGATAAATTCAGAAGACATTGTCTTACATATTCATTGGAACTTAGTTTCCATTTTCTGTTCCATTCTTATAAAATTTTAAACAAATAAGTGTTTTCCACCTAAGTATTTATTGTAGAGCTACTAAGGTCAAAACTGACTTGACTTGGCTTGTTGCAGAATATTTATGCTGTGTCATACCAACTATTTTCTGTATCACATGCCAGGATAATATAATCACTTGGAAAGCAATCAAGGCAGTCAGTCTCTTTTGAAATTTGAAATTAATGGATTTTGTCTTCTTAAATAGCCATAACTACAAAGTCTGTTTTGCAAAATAACACATACCCCTTCTGCTCTCTCCCAAGAATTTAGACTTTTAATTATTTGAGTCATTCCAGAAATTAAAGTCTAGCTTTTCTGAAACCCTTTAAAAACAGCCAATGTATGCTACACCCCAGTCATCACATGAAAATTTTTCTATGGCAACAATTTCTTACAATTTGTCAACAAGAAGTTCTTTTACAATAAGATATGAATAGTGACCCGAATTTCTTATGATTCTGAAACTTGTGTTTTGCCTGTTAATGTGTTTTGGCTCAGCTGATGAAAATATCATAGCCAAGTTTGCAGCTGAATCATATCAGTGGGTTCTTTGGAGGCAGTGGTGTTGTCTTGGGTTGCAATGCAAGATGTAATCAAATGTATTCTATTACCATCTCTTAAAACCAGGTGGGGCAGTGTTCTTTATCTCTTCTTTGACCCATCCCTCATAACTCCAGAGAGATCTCTTCTGTTAATGGGCCAGCTGTTAAAACCAGCTGTGGCAGTGTTCTTTTCTCTTCCACAACCCATCCTCCCTCCAGGGGAATATCTTCTGTTAATGGGCCGTTGGGTCTCACTGCATGACTGATGAAATTACATCATCCCATTGTGAGATGCTCCACCCAGGGGGAGGAGTCAAGCATTCCTACCTGGATATAATCAGAGACTTGGAACACTGCAGTCAGCCTTTCTCCACTAAATTCTCAGAAGAGTAGATCCATCTACACCACTAGCCCTTCAGAAAAAAACCTACACCCTTCTATGGAATCATTGCTACAACAGGACCACATCTGTCACTCCAGGAGGACTACAGCCACCATTTAATTGGAGTGCTACCAACACTCTGACAGAAGGGTGTCAGGTTGTATTCTGACTGTCAGTAGTTTGTTTCTTGTTTTTTGTTTTTTTTGTACTATTGCATTTTTATTTTAATTTTCTGGTAAAGAACTGTTATTCCTATTCCCATTATCTTTGCCTGAGAACCCCTTGATTTCAATATTATAATAATTCAGAGTGGGTTATGGGTTTACAGTTTTTCATTTCAAGAGAGGTTTTGGCTTCCTTAGCAGACACCTGTCTTTTCAGAGCAAGACAGGTGTGAACAGAGCACTGCTGAATGCCAGAAAACCTTGACTGGCCTGGGGACTGCTGGAAACTTGTACCAGACATGGTCCATCACAGCAGCTTCAGGGCTGCTATGGCTCAGGCTGGTGCTAATCGCCTCTTCACAGCCTCAGGAGATACATACAGACATTTTTGCTGCCTCCTGCTGTCTCAGACCTTGGTCACACCACACCTGGGACCACCCTAAGGATAAGAACCTGCATACACCAGCAAGCCTTTACCTGCAAAATATAAAGAAACTCAGTTAAATGGGTAACCACAAGCCAATGTATGAAATGGACCATGTCTTCACAGCATATACGTGGCTTCTAAAATGGATTTTTACTGTAGGTAAGTCACTACACAGTAATATTTCATCCGAGTAAGATTGGACTTGAAAAGGGATCATGTATTTTTTTGCCTTTGCTATTTCTAGCCAAATGTACTACTCTTGCACTTCCACAGCATCTGCTGTTTGAATGTATCAGTCAAGTAAATCTCTGAATACATGGGTAAATATTAATCCATTAATGAATGCAAAGCCAAGGCACAAAGAAGTGATTTATATAATTATAAATACTAATGAGTATGTACTTCAAGATGATTACACTCCATGCACTTACGAACTCTTTTGATGGCATAAAATCTTAAGAAATAAAGTGAGCTGTGTTTCCCTTACTATTTTTTTTTTTTTAGAAATGAACTTGAATATTCAATTATGGGTTTATTATTCTGTGAATCAGTTTACAGTGATCAGTGGATATAATTTTTTGGTATGAAAATGTTATTTGTGCATATTACAGTTCCAGGCACATATTATAGTTTCATGAAAACATTTCAATCTTCCAGTCTTCATGCAAAAGATTGGCCTGTGGGCTCTGCACAAGATGTAAATGAAGTTCCTGTTTAGCTAATCTGATTACCCTGTAGGATACCAATCTTGCTTAGTGACAGTGGAAGCTAAAATTTGCAAGCAGGACAGTCCACTTGAAATTGGGCCAGGAAAGGTCAGTTTCTAAATAGCGAATCTGAAGTTTGAACTAGATTTTAATATTATCCCTAAGAATGTTCAGTTAAACATAGAAGCTGTCTCCTCCATAGCTGCTATCATTGCTTTTAAATATCATGATGACATTGAGAAAAGCTTTTTGTAAGAAGTACAGATCTTTATTAATTATATGTAAAGATGCTGCAATCACTTTAACCCAGCATTTAGTTAGCCTGTGGCTTAATTCCCATTTGACACTTCTCTTAGTCCTCTCATTCTATCAAAATTAATGGTCCAATAGAGAAATTCAGTGAATAGCAAAACCCCACACAGATTATCAAAAAACCACCCCAAGTCAATACAAACTAAAACTATTTGAATATTACCAAAATAATGTTGCTTTATTGTGGACTTACTGAGTGTATGAGAAAAGACTAAAAAGGCATATGCTGACATTACTGAATATGAAATACTGCTGTTCCTTCTGACAGGATTAGCTAAATACTTAAATGATAAGAACATTTCCCTGTATTTTTCCTGTACTCAGAAAAGTCACTCTTTGATCTATTTCACTAGCTTCAGTTACTGTACTAGGCTTTTATATATATAAAAATTTTATTTTTAGTAGTCTTTGGCATCTCCTTGGTTTTCCTTTGATCTATAAAGGTTTTATGATCAATAATATCTAAAAGCAGCTGGTGTTATTGCAATTGCTCTGAGTCAAAGAAAAAACCCAACAAAAGTAATGCAACGCTGGTGAAAATGATACAGCTTTTGGTTGATCAGAAAATGTAATTATCTCAGTAAATGCATTTGGTTTTCAGTAATGAGATTCAAAATTTCAGACAGATTATTTTTAATAACATCTTTTCATGGTGGCTCTATTAGATACTTTAAATCAGACCTCAACACTTACCTAATAGATAAATACCTCATTCCCTCAATAGGTTTTAGATGAAGGGACTCAGCACTCCACACAGAATCCTAATGAATTTGAAGGGGGAAAAGGATAAAACCATGCCTGGAGATAGCCTGGGGGCAACACGCCAGTGTCTGAGGAATGGTGTGCTGGGGAGGTCCTTTCATCTGCTGTCCCTATGGAGAGGGGGAATGGAGATCCATGTGGCAGCAGTGACACAAGGGATATTGATGTGTTGGAAACAACAGAAGGGCCTGAGAATGATCACACAGAAGCTCCTCCTTGACTGCCCTGATCTCCTGTGCCAAGATGATCTGCACAGAGGATGAGGGAAAGGCTATGGATGTTGCCTCCTAGACTTCAGTAAAGCTATGACAGTGTTTTCCACAGTGTTCTCCTGGAGAAACTAGCTGCTCATGGCTTGGATGGGTGCACTCTTCACTGTTAAAAACCATCTGGATGGCTGAGCCCAGAGTGCTGGTTGAAAGGTGCTGCATCCATTTAGCATCCAGTCACAAGTAGTGTTCCCTAGGGAGGAGTGTTGGGGCCAGTTCTGTTTAATACCTTTATCAACAACCAGGATGAGGGGATCAAGGAGACCCTCAGTCTGCAGAAGACACCAAACTGGGCAGGAACGTGATCTGCTGGAGGGCAGGAGGGCTCTGGATAGGCTGGATTGATGGGCCAAGGTGTGAGGGTCAACAAGAGACAGAGGTCCTGTCAAGTGTCTGAACATGAGGCAAGAGCATAACCAGGTGGCCAAAGCCAGTGGCATCCTGGCCTGTATCAGGAATAGTGTGGCCAGCAGGCCCAGACCATTCTCCTGTACTCAACACTGGTGAGGCCACACCTCAGGTGCTGTGCCCAGTTCTAGGCCACCCAATTCAGGAACGACAGTGAGATGCTGAAGCATTACTGCCCTCTACAACTACGCCAGAGGCAGATGTAGAGAGGTGAGAGTTGGTCTCTTCTACCAAGTCACAAGCAACAGGATGAGAGGAAACAGCTGCAAGTTGCACCAGGGGAAGTTTAGATGAGATACTAGGAAAAATTTCTTCACCAGAAGGGTTGTCAGGCAGCTGAACAGGCTGCTCAGGGAGGTGGTTGAGTCACTGTCCCTGGAGGTATTTAAAAGACAAAGCAGCTCACAGCTTAATCCTAGAATGATCCATCGTATGCTGATACTGTTTTTGGGTGACCAACACTAAAATTACATGTTCAGAAAACAGTTTTAACTGTGAATTTACAGAAGCACAATCCAAACCTTCCATTTGAATTCCCACAGCTCCCCCATGCCAAACAACACATATCTGCATGAAGAGGCACATTAACTCATCTGACATTGAACAGTTTTTTCCTTGGATTAGTTCGAGTAGTGAATCAATTTCCTGATCTGGTTCAGCAGGCAGACACAAAAATGTCTGTGTTAATGTAAGTGAGCAGCTCAGAATATGAAAATGCTTTTGATTGACCTCTACCCATTTGGAGCATATGTGAAACTACCTTAGGGATGTTATACACAGGCTGTCAGATCATATGACCACTAGCCACCAGTCCACTGGGACTCAGATCTCTCCCTTTCTGGGATATTTTCTTGTATTATCCAATTATTGTTTTACATCAGAACTACCTATTAAAGTGTGCATTCACATTGTGATCAAAGCTTATGTACTGTAAGAGATGATTTATTGGAAAGCCCTGAAGAATTATATTACATACCCACAGTAGTCTATTTCAAAGATTTATTTTCCTAAACATGGCATTCTGTAAATTTTTAATAAATATATATCCTTTACAGTACTGATGCAGTGTAACATTCACAAATATTTTCAAAGTGTTGGCTATTATCTCAGCAAACACCATTAATGACCGCTTTCATTTATTAATAACAATTAAAATCACAATTCAGTAGCCACTTCAGCCCCAATAATATAATAGTTGTATGAAACACTGATCTGCTACTGTATCAGTAACATTTATTTAATTTTGCAGAGAAATTATTATAGTTGCTGTGGACAAAGCTCTTTTTGCTCCAGTTGAAAAAGTCTGTGAATAAATCATGTCATGTTTAGATATAAAAAATAGGTCAATGGCTACTGAGATGATGTTTCCAAAAGCAGAACCTTCCCTACAGGACAGCTTTAAGAAAACACTTCATCTGACAGCACACATTCTTTTTAACAGAATCCTCTTAGTAGGTACTGGATAAAAAAAAATAAAAAAATTAATTGTATAAATGGACAGAGCGAAGATAGTGAGGCATGAGACTTCTTTTAAATTAAAAATACCTGGCATAACATTTTAGGACTTGAACCATGCTCCTTCCAATTGATGTTACTTACACAGAGGCCACAAAAACAACCCTCGGGCAAGTTGTTTTCAGTGCCTTGGAGAAACTGATGAGAATGGCACATTTTTTTGGAAGAAATGAACCAGGAGAAAACAGTGCATACTTTTTGTAATGTTGTTTTCCATAGAGGAGTTACCAGTTTTGTCTTCTACCAAGATTAAATGATGGGCAGCACATTTAAATAGCTCAGCAACTAAAACATTTACCAATCATGGACCAGAGGAGCTCTTGTCCAAGGAAGGCACATTTCTCTTGATTAAAAAAAAAAATCAAAGAAGATCCTAATGCATTAGACTTCATATGAAATAATGATCTTAAATCTTTATTAAAAATAGCAAATAATCACACTGCAGAGGATTATTCTAAATTGATTGTCTATATAATCACAGATCAAATTTGTTCCTTCATCTATTTTGTATTACTTATAGATAGCTACTGCCCCAGACAGGCAACTGCTGCAAAATGAGGCATTTTTGTCTTTGTATACTAACATAATTAGTGGAGACACCATTCTGAGACCAGAGTTCAGATACACCACACTGAATCTCATATTATTTAGCAGCCATAACTCTACAGTAAAAACAAGACCATAATTACCCATTCCATCTGACATGAACAAGGAACAGTTTTTGAAAGTCTTCTTGCTTGTGTTTTGGTGGAGAAATATTTTAGATATTCCTGGAATAAAGGGTAAAGGAAATCTACACACTGATTATAAATTAAGACTAGTGTTGACTTTTATTTACATAGTTTTACAAACAAATTCAAGTAATTATTGCATCAACCATTCAGATTTTGAACATTACTATAAACCACAAGTTTATAGCATATAGTATTGCATTCTTCATGGAGCCGTGATTACTGTTCTACATTTTTCTTTCTCCGACGAAGCCACCTCAGAGCTCTCACCAGTGCTACTTGTCCCATGAGGAATGTGATCCTAAAGTTATGTTTATACCAATCTCTAGGATTCCAAAGCCAAGAAAATCATCAGCACACAGAACAGGAAAAAGATACACAATTATATTAAAAATATAAAAATTATATAAAAATATCCTTTGGTATTGACAAATGATATTTCAGTAATGACCTGCATTTTCTTTTCTTTGTGGTAACACTTTTCCTCCTTAATAAAAGAGTTAAATAACCTATCAAGAAGTCTGTGTATATGAACATCCATGAAGAGATTGCATGTGGATTACAGGGTTGCAACTGTATTTGAAATCAGGCAAGATAAAACAGTTAAAACCATGTCTCATGTTTCAGAAGTAAAGTTGATCACCATGCTATCTGGACTAACTTCCTGCCAGTGCTGTGCTTCAGGTAAGATTTGTTTGTGTGTGGATGAAAATGCCTGTGTTGAAAAGGGCAAAGCTGGTCTCATACAAGGGTAGGAAAAAATAAAATCAAATCACAGTTCAAAGGCTAATTGAATAATCCAATACATGAAACATTATCTTTCTACTGCAATATATTTTAAAGACAACGCTGTTAATATTGTCAAAATTAGTTTTTGTATCTTTAAATGACTTAGTTTTTATGAATCATGCATGGCTTCTGGAACCAATTCAAATTATTCACAGTATAGTCTACATCAGCCCTTTTTGACCTCTGAGAACTTGCTTCAAGTTCTTGCCCCAGTTTTAAATTAAAATAGTATCAAAATTTTTTTCTAGTTTCTAACAAGGATCTCGCTCCCATGTTGTAAAATGCTCACAAGAAGCAATAGGATATGCAGAATTCTAGAACTAGAACACTGGGATTTAGGTCTTCCCTTGACATGTCTGGGGCAAACCTTGCATGCACAAATCTAACATAAGCCTGAGATACCAACCTCTCAGTGAGGACAGCAGCCAAATTCACACCGACAGGCAGCACTGAGCTACCCCTTCAAATGTCATGTTAAATAAAAATATCATGCTAACATTGCAATTGTTTCTTTTCTCCTTTCACATTTAATTTCCTATATTCTTCTTGAATTTTTTTTCCAAAACTAAATTGTATTTCCAGTCTAAGTACCCTGAACTAAATATTCAAGGCATCTATGCTCAGTCATTGCTTCAATTTTAACTACATTTTGGAATTTGCAACACTTCAGCTGCCAGTTTTCAGGCCAGCTGGCAATACTGCAAAAGAACATACAGCTAAATGCATTAACAGATTTTTATAAACATGACCCCTCAAAATCAGAGTGCCTGTAAAAAGCTCTGCTGTTTTCAGAGCTGTGCAGTTCCACTTTGAAACTACAACAATGCAGCTGACACAACCTGATCTTACAAGTCAGCAGCAAGGAAGGTCATGTTTAAGCACAAAGCCTGAATTATCTTACCCTGAAGATGGCACACTATCCTAAGGTCACTGCAACAATGGCAACTGACAACCAGTTCTAAGATGAACTATTTGCATTCCCACTTATCAATTATAAGCAATGTATTAACAATCCTTTCACTAAAAAAAATTCTTACTTTGTATCTTTTCATGCTATTGCTTTGCATTATAGTGAGGTTCCCCCCTGCTCCTCTGTGGTAAAGATAAGATGTGCATATTTAAATATTTGTTAGTTAAATTAGGATAGTATTTTATGCACAATACACAAAGAAACTTAAGCCACCATTTGTTATAGATCAGTTACAGTGATGGCAGAATTCTCACTAACATCATGCCATTAGGAACCCAGGCACACTTTTGAGCCAAATAATCTCCCAATCCAGTACAAAGAGGAAACTGCAGTTATACTTTCACATTCAGTGGTCAGAATTCCCTGATTACGTGCTGTCTTTCTCCACCTTCCCATTCCTCCCTCATTTCTAGCTCTTTTTAAAGTGTGCACAGCTACTTGCAGAGGTATGTGTGTTTGCAAGTAATTTTTTACCCCTTTCAGATCCCAAATCCAGTTTATCGAGTTGTTGTACACACAGAAACACTGAAACAATGCAGGAGGTGCTGTGAAGAGCTGGTTGTGGGTTTAACTGTAAATGAGGTTCTACCCAGGACTAGTCAGGTGATAAATTTATGCCTCACCAAACTCAAAAGCTGATCACTTTTTTACTAGATACTTGCAAAATAATAGACCAAATATTACTCCCAGTAATGATTTTCCTTTGAGATAAATCACTTGTCCTTATTTAACAGTCAGCTAGAATCTGTTATACAGAACTTTCAAGTGGTCTATTTGCATATTTATCAGTTTCAATTAGCAGCATGAAAAGACCTGTGCCCTAAGATAATAAAATGTGCCTGATCTTGTCTCTTTAAATCTCAGACTTGAGCTTATCTTTCCACTGAAACAACAATAAGCAGCAGCAGAACTCAAATGATAATGCAAATTTCTATCAAATGCTAATAACAGCATTAAAAATAATTTTCCAAAATTACAGGGGTTTGTGCTGTTTTACCAATTACAGAAAAAATGTTCAAATTTTAAACTTGACCTTATACCTTTCACTTAGACTGTAATGTATAATGATCAACTTAAATACCTTCTACATACCTGTTATACTGCAAATGCTTTTTAAAATTTTTAGTTAGAAAGTCCTTGTAAAAGTCAGCCATTTCTTCTGCATTCAGTGTTGCTTTTTGACCTGAAAATAGGTTTTGGTGTAACAAAGTCAAAGCAATTCTTTGGATCAAAACACTAGGTTCAGATGCTAGGTCCAACTGCCTGCTCCTACAAGCTTTCTGTGTAACCCTGAACAAATGAATATGCTTTTATCTTTTAAAACTTATCCAGAAAGCACAGCAGATTAAAATACCAATCATCTTGAAGCTGGCATAGTTCTTAAACCCCTTCTACTTGTGGAAGGGATAAAGTTTATCAGCTCTTAGACTATTTAGGGAACCAGTGAACCCCTATGAAAATGTTCATGGATCTAGGAGTATCTATCTTTTGAATAAAACAATTTCTTATGGGGCTTAAGCCTAAACAGTACCAATAAGAACATTTAGTAACTTAATTTCAACCCCTAAAGCAAGCCCATACATATCAAAAGAACACTATCCACAACTGTCATGGTATTTTCAGATGTAATCTTTTTCTATTACTGTTGATAAATTTCAAGTACCTTCAGGCAAAAAGTTTATGTTCTGAGATGTCAGACTTCCGAACAATCTAATAGGCAGTTATTTTGATAAGAAACAAATATAAAAAAATATTTTGAATATGTCAGTCATAACCAGAATATAAAGGGAAGAACAGGAAGACTTGTGGCTATAGCACACATGTCTGATCCTGAGAACCAGCAAATATTCTCAACTCTACCAGACAATTCCTACCAAAACCTTCTGGCACAACATGTCCCTAAAATGACAGTCAAATTTCAGTGCCCCAGGGAACATGGATATGATGAGGGAGATGGAATAGCAATATTCAACTTGTTCCTGTTCCAAAATGCATTTTAAGGCTCTTGAGATTGATCACAGAAATGTGAATTATTGATTTGTTTTATTTATCATTATTTAAAAAACTAATGGACCACAGTATTAACATACTATGGGATAAATTAACTCTAAAACCATTTGAAGGCTGCCACCTTAACACCTGTAGTTAATTTGTTTCTTCATACTGGTATCAGCAAAACTGATTCGTTACACAGAAAAGTAAGTTTCATTCCAACTGTTCACGTATATTTTTATTTTTACAAATACTCACAGCTGTATTATAGAACAGCTGACCAAAGGCATGCAGTCAATACAAATTTGTTTTTAATGGAAGTATGTGGTCACTCTCTTTTAGTTCTAGAGTATAAAGCAAAACAAAAAACCCCACAAAATAGCAATATAAAGTAAATGTTTTTGAAACAATGTAGATCTTAATTAGAATTACTTCTCTAGCACTGATCACCAGGATACAAAGAAAAAAGAAAAATAATGCTCTGTGACATACAGAATGTCAGAGCAGATGCTTCACTAAACTCAAACAGATCATTATTCTGTGAACAAAGTGTTCAACCTCATACTACAATGCCCAATTCACTTTTATTACGAAGGCATTTTGTTTTCATTTTCACACAATGAATTAGAGAGACAACTATTTTACAGCAACTGTGCTCAGGCAGAGACAGGCAGATAGCAGCTGCTGTCTCCCCAGAAGCTGCCTTACTCTCCCTCAAGGAAAAATATTGTATTCATTGCACACACTATGGACCTGAAGCCAAAGACTGAATTTATCCACTCAACCATAACATGCACTTGAGGCAAAAGCTCTGTATGTTTATCTTAGACAGCTCACTGGCTTAGGAGGTGTGAAAGTAAGAAGTCCCTTCCTCCTTAGGCTACAGAATTATTGTATTACTGGGCTAGAATTTCAGCACATTCCCACTGGCTGTGGGGAAGGAATTAGGGGGAGAACAGCACAAGAGATTATCTGACCCCCACATACACATCTCTGGAAAGCCCCCCATCTCTTTTTTTATCACACTGCTGAAAACACTTCTAAATCCGACCCCTAAGACTTACTTGTGATAGAACACAAAGAGCATAAACGAACAAAATTCAAAATTAAACAGAGTTCAGAATGCATCCTAAACTATTAAAGAAGATCTCACTAACCTGATTCATCTCTCATTTCCAGACCCTTGGCTTTCAGTCTTGAATAAATAAATTCTTCTTTTTCCTAAAACACGTTTTTCCATATTAGAATGGGATGCAGTCAGTCCTTGAAGTTAGCCATTGTTTTTAATTACATAGCAATGTGGTGTTCAACACCCTTTGAAATAACTAGCAATACTCGTTATACTTGGAAGTGTCAACTAAACACTTTTCTTAATCCAGTGAGTTAGTTAAACTGGTCTCTTAGATCCTGTACCTGCATGCATCAATTAATTCCTGCAAGTGTCCTACTGATACTTATAAAACTGATTTCTACAGTAAAGCTACAGCCAAACTTCAGTGTTGTTTGACAGGATTCAAACTTTCAGTTTATAAAAAAAAACTATGGAAATGCATTGTACTGTGTAACTGAGATTTTGAGCATAGAGAAAAACACACAGCCTTAAAAAAATTTCAATTATTTAGACGAAAGCACAATAATCATTTGTATGTGAGTTTTACAGACTTAAAAAAAAGCTTCATTTTTTTATGGGATCTTTTCAAGTTTTGAGAGGATATGATGTTCAACACCATAAACGATGGTGAATTACTGAACTGCTACATTTCTTCCAAAAAATGCCACATTGGCTGGGAGGTGCTAAAATCAAGAAAGACAGACTCACTTTAGCCTTGCTGGGATACTCTGCCCGTGAAATGAGAGGTGTCATTTAACTTCATTTAGTCTTGGTAATTAGACCAAATCACTTATAACAAGAGAAAAAACAGCCACGAAATAATTTTCAACAGCTGCTCTAGTCACAGCCAGGTCTTGCATACAGGGTAGCTACAACCTTATACTTTCAGTGCAAGACAGGAAAAAGGCAAATACTCTATGCCACTAGGCGGCAACAAAACATGTAGGATTTTTAGTTTTGTGCATCATTTAAAGAAACGAACGACAAAACCTTAATTTCCTCCATGACCCTGAGCGCATTAGCAGCGGGCAGAACTGAGCCCCAGCTCATAGAGGCGAAGCGCCCCAGTTTCGGGCAGGCTGAGCAGCAGCAGCGGGTGCAGGGCCGGGCTCACCTGGCAGAAGGCGAGGTTGTGCCGTGCCCAGAAGCGCTGGTTGCTGGCCTGGGCCTCCTGGCGCGCCTCCCGCAGCCGCCGCTCCAGCGCCGACTCCTCGGGGGGCACGTAGAAGATGATGGGGCGCAGGTTGGAGTGCTTGTCCGGGGGCCCGATCCAGTCACTGTGCGAGTGCGCGGGGGGACGGAAACCCAGGCCCTGCGAAACACAGACACAAAGCGTCTTCAGCCCTGCTGCACTTCTGGAGAACGTCTCAATCTCGAATGAATTCCCACGTGCCACGGAACCTTAAAGCGTGCAAACATAGCAAATTCAGAATTAAAGTACATTTATTTACTGTGACCAAAAACAATGGCGTACATTTACAATTTACTTTTAATTACAAGTGCACTACAGAGAAGACACCTTCAACTCTTTTACCATGGGCACGAATCATGAGGTATTTTTTTAAATCAAAATATTTTTTTTGTTTTCATTTTTCTATCAGTGTTACTCTGTTAAAATATTTCATGGAGAGAACTAGCAAGTATGCAAGTTTTTTATGGCGCTGATCTCTGCCCTCTGGTGACCAGTGACAATACCCGAGGGAACAGGATGAAGCTGTGCCAGGGGAAGTTTAGGCTGGATATTAAAGGCTCTTCACCCAGAGGGCGATGGTCACTGGAACAGACTCCCCAGGGATGGGGTCACGGCCCCGAGCATGACAAGCTCGAGGAGCTTTAGGACAACTCTCAGACACACGGTGCGATTCTTAGGGCTGTTCTGTACAGGGCCAGGAATCGGATTTCGGTGATCCTTGTGGGTCCCTTGAAACTAAGCATATTTTATAAATCTACTGATATAGAAAAATTCCGCGTTATCACTACAATTCAAACTTTTCCTCAGCCCGGCGTTCTTGCTGCATCCCTGTGCCCACACGCAGCGTGTGGCTGCCCCAGGCGGGTTCGGGGACACCTGGCGTTACCCAACAGCCCGGACCTCAGCGCCCCTGCAACAACAAACACCGGGGGCCTCGATAAACACATCAAAAACCAGAGGCCGCGGGGAACGCGGTTTTCTACCGCCGGCGTTACCGGGGGTGCAGCCGGAGCACTCCCCACTCCGGGCTCCGCGGGGGC